ATGCCATGGAAACCATAAACAACAACAACATGTGTATTGAACTGAACGCCCATTCAATGGTTTACCCAATGATTGCATTCATTCATAACTATTACACAAATTGTCTGCAAAACAAACACTCCATTCAATCCATTGAATCAATTAAAACAACAAACCATTCATTAACTGATAATCACTTCTTCGCACACATTGTCTGCAATTATTATGTGTTTACCACTCGTCGAGTGTCAACACATTGAACCACAACCAGAGCGACGACCAGTTTAAGCGATGAGAACCACTGGTGACCACCACTCGGAGGGGCCGTCGATGGTCACCACCACCACAGCCGAGGCCACAGCCATCGGCGGTGATGACAGACCCGTCTATACAATCGAAGATCTCGGCCTAAGAGCCGCACCGCAAACGCAACACACATTCATTGGTCCCGTAAGTGATGATTAGCCCCACTGTCGACGGGTCTGACCGTCGATGTGATAATCAGACGATAATGTGTTTGTCTTGCGATGTGTTTGAACCCAAATGTGTGTCTTTGTGTCCCTATAATAGACGCGTTCGTTGTATACATTGTCGACATACGAGTGGATCTATTGGATACTATCGATGATAACTTTGGTGATACTGATGGGCATAACCATTGACCGTCTCATCGCTCTGCCGTCAGCTGATCCGGACTTCACGTTCGCATTCCTACTCTTCTGGACCACGTGTTTCTGTTTTGTTTACGTGATTCAGGTCTCTATGCCATACATTATCTTATATATCATACAATGGTGTGTTAGTGGCCACTCGTGTCCCACAACCCACACGTTTCTTTATCATTGATTACTAAGTTATTAATTAATTTTATATGATTTTGGTGATTATAAATACAGACCCTAAACGGATGCATTATTCACAAAAAGCATAACTTTAGATACAAGTAATGTTTAATTAATTGCTTTGAAAACAATATTGAACACAATATTTCTTATAATGAATCTTATAATTACTTTTTTTTCTGCATCCGTTTAGGGTTTATATTTATATTGAAAAGTTATAAAATTGTTTGATTAGTCATTGAATTAGTATTTGATTTCAAGGATTCAATTCAATTAGATTTCAAGAGATATGATATAATAGAGTACTCTATACTGTATAGTGAACGCCAAACAGTGTTTTATTGATATGCAAATTGAATATGAATTATAGAAATTTTACAGATTATGCAAAAATTTAAATAATTTTTCCAATAAATACACAGAAAATCAATACAAATGAATGCAATTTAATTAGATTTATGTTAATATTTTGCTTAACCATTGATTTGCAACTCTTAGGGAGTGTTCAGAGAGCGTGCCTTCGAGTTGATAGCATTTGTGGCCACGATTACCATTGTTTTAGTATACGTTATATTCAACTATTCTGCCAATCAGTCGCACAGCAGCATTAAAATTGTATGTATTTTGTAATCCAATTGTTTGTTTATCACAAACATCTAAATTCAATTCAATTGCTTTGATTGCACTACAATTGAAGGCGCGTTTGACGATCACATGTCTATTCGCACCCATACTGATAGTGGGAGGCATTGTATTTACTATGAGATACCTTCGGTCCAAA